TGGAGTTTCCGAACGTCTAGAGGATGAAAAAAACAGTGGACTCCAAATTTCCCACAATTCACCTTGAAAAGTAGTGATCATCCATCGTCACTAGATGAGCAGATATATCCCAGAATGCATTGCGAATGAGGGATTTAAGGGTTAGGGCATAGCCTTAGTATCTCTTAATGCAGGGTTAACTCACTCAAAGTTTTCATTTGACCTGTTTTCTTAAATACCCTTCCACCTGCTTCCAAGTTTTTTTGGGTAAAGCTTGTAATATGTAATACGTAATGTAATAACGATTTTTTTTTTTTCCCCAGGTCATTGTGTGCTCAGCCACACTGCACTCTTTTGACGTGAAGAAGCTCTCTGAGCGCATCATGCATTTTCCTACTTGGGTCGACCTGAAAGGTGAGGACTCTGTCCCAGAGACCGTCCACCACGTGGTGGTGCCTGTCAACCCGAAGGCCGACCGACTGTGGGAGCGCCTCGGCAAAAACCACATCCAGGTGAGAAGAAAGACAGACTATAAATGAAAGGGTTAAAGGTTGATGCAGAAGGCATCTGCTCTTTACTCTGATTTGCTCTCCCTTTATGTAGACTGATGAAGTTCATGCCAAGGATAACACTCGACCTGGAGCCAATACACCAGGTAAGGACTCACTGGAACGCTTTTGTTTTTTTGTAATTGGAGAAACATATTCTTTATTGTTCACTTCTGGTTAGAAATGTGGTCAGAAGCTATCAAGATGCTGAAGGGCGAGTACGCGGTCAGGGCCATCAAAGAGCACAAAATGGACCAGGCCATAATCTTCTGCCGCACCAAGATCGACTGCGACAACATGGAGCAGTATTTCATCCAGCAAGGAGGAGGTGGCCAAATATATCCATTTAAGCACCCTCTGTAGATACGTTTATTGAAAACCATATTGTTGATGACAAATTTGGAATATTTTTCTCCTCAGGTCCAGACAGTAAAGGTCACCAGTTTTCCTGTGTCTGCCTTCATGGCGACCGAAAGCCGAATGAGCGAAAAAATAACTTGGATCGCTTCAAGGTGAGGAACCAGAGATGCTGTTTAGCTTGCACAGCCAATTGAGAGACCCCTAAAGTCCATGTGGTGCTTATAGAGAAAAGAAGTGAAGCTGCTGATCTGCACCGATGTGGCTGCGAGAGGAATCGACATCAGCGGCGTCCCTTACGGTACTGATTTCTTTGTCGTATCTAATGTCCAAAAATCAGAGATTTTTGTCTTTTGTTCTTACGTTGCTCTTGTTCCTCCGTTAAAACCTCCAACTGCAGTGATTAACGTCACCCTGCCTGATGAGAAGCAAAACTACGTCCATCGTATCGGCAGAGTTGGGAGAGCTGAGAGGTAGGCTATAAAAGTCTTTGGAATAGATCACTAAAGCTAAAAACACAAATTAAATGTTGGTTTTGCATTACAAAATGTTTAATAGTTCAGAGTATCTAAACGTGCTTTGTGAGAGACTGTTTGTTTAAGAGTATTTTCTTTAACTTGCAGAATGGGTCTTGCCATCTCCCTGGTTGCTATGGAAAAAGAAAAGGTGATCTAGGTCGTAGAAATCCTAATATTCTGGTTGTTGTACTCTGTTTAATGGAGCTTTCATCCTTTTAGGTATGGTACCATGTTTGCCCAAACCGAGGCAGAGGCTGCTATAACACCCGCCTGAAGGAGGACGGAGGATGCACCATATGGTACAACGAGAAAGAGGTGGGCAAAATGCCGTATGAAATGGTTCGCCACCATGGATTGTTTTGTGTTTTTTAAACATGTTTGTCTCATTTGTCATGTATCGTTCCCTATTTCCCTCTTATTCCAGCTTCTGTCAGAAATCGAGGAGCATCTGAAGTGCACCATCACTCAGTGTGACACCGATATTAAAGTCCCTGTGGATGAGTTTGATGGAAAAGTGACTTATGGACAGCGCAGAGCTCTGGGAGGTATCTGTAGCCATTTACATCTATCTGCTGATATCTGCTGCTTTGAAGGTCCTTACCAATAAATCTGTCCTCCTTCCCCAGGCGGAAACTATAAAGGCCACGTGGATGTTCTGGCCCCAACAGTCAAGGAGTTGGCTCTCCTTGAAAGAGAAGCTCAAACATCTTTCCTTCATTTAGGATACATGCCTAACCAGCCATTTAGAGCGTTCTAAAAAAAAAAGGAATTAACATGATAGCTCCTCATGCTCTACTTCTGAATGAAACATTCACAGGATGAAAGCTAAATATGAAGTTTGTGAACAAACTAATGGAGAATGAACCGAAAAAGGTTGATTTTGAGTTTTTTTTTTTTTTGTGTTAGGCTTTCTAATTTATCCACAATTAGGGTTTAAATTGTCAACTAGGTGTGAAGGCTAAAGAGTATTCTGTACTAGTTTGTTAACGTTTACGGCTGACTGAAAGAGCTCCCTGTCGGACTGAGATACTTAAGCTAATCCTGATTTATTGGACTTAAGGCTTTTATGGGAAAAGTCTTCTTAAGACTGATTAAATTACTTTGGTTGTTTTTCTTCTCAAATAAAGTGTGTTCTGAGTTTGCTTTCTGTGTCTAATTATTAAAAAGAAAACAATTTTTCCATCTTTTTTTTTTTCTGGTTGATTTAAGCTGAATGTTTAGCTATATCTATTGAGTCGTCATGTACAAAATGTAAACAAATATCTACATAAATTCTTAAATTGATAATGCTTTTTTAATGTTAGTAAACTGACTTCAGTTTTATCGACCACACAAGCCCTGAATACTGCCAGGCATGTAGAGTCAACAAAAATCTAGGATCTAGAAAAGAGCCAAATTATGCTCCGATCTAAAAACCTCTAATAACTGAGTCCCAAGAAACAGGAACGCTTTTTCTGAATTACAGTAAGGGAACACAAGGTCAATAGATGTTATTTTCCATTTTTCAATCACAATGAGTTCAAATTTAGTCCATTACTATATTATTAATATTTAAATATGCTCATAAGTTCAGATCATATTTCATTTTTTGACTTTTAAGATGACAGATATTTTTATTTGTTTTTCCTGCTGGCTTATGATGGGAAATTTCTAACAGCTTGCAATGATTAGCACTGACACTAAATTGTATTTAAGTTCTCATTTCAAATAGTCTGATCATTAAAAAATAAATTCTAATATGTATCTGCAATATCCAGTTTGGGCTTTGGGTGGAGCTCCTGACCTCCAGTAACCTTACAATCTTTCCTATTTGTGCTCCTGGCAAACCTTAGTACAGGATTTCAAACATCAAATGCCTGTTAACATAAAATAATTCAACTTCTCTAAAAAAAAAATAAATGCATTAAATAAAACGATGTTTCTGATTTGAAACTTAATCTTAGTCTGGCTTTTATTAAACATGTTTTATTTGAATCTACTTTAAACATTGATATTTTGCTTTATTTTTCTTTATATCAGTCAAGTTTAAGGCTGTTAGGGACCAAACTTAAATAAGGACAAAAGGTGTTTAGGAATGGGGAAAAAAAAAAAATAATAAAAAAAAATAATAAAATAATGTTAAAAAATAGTTAAAGGATCAAATAACAAAGTGGATAATGTCCCACCCCTATTATGAAGCTTTTGCAGAACTGGAGAGCTCCTTCAGTGACAGACTGCTGCACCCTAAATGCACCAGGGAGCGTTATCACAGATTCTTCCTCCCAGCAGCTGGAAGACTCTATAACCATCACTGTGTCCAACAGCCTCAATAAGTTGTTACATTCATGCTGATTTTGCACAATTTCTACCTTAGTCAGTTAAATAACATGCTGCTGTCATTTTGCACATCTCTGATGTTGCTGCTATTTTTAAAATATCCATTACTTTATAAAATGCCCATAGCTGTATATTGGTTATTTATTCTCCAGGTGCACAGTTTTTATGTAGTTAAAACACTTTACTTTACAGTATATTCTTGTTTATTTTTTAACTCTTTAATTTTATATTATTCTTATACATTTTTCTAAGGTCCACATTTGTGTGACCCTTTTTTCTATAATCTTTTTTCTGTTGTAAACATCAGAATCTCCCCATTGTGGGACAAAAAAAGGATTTTCTATTCTATTCTAAATAAATAATAGGCAAGGCAAATTTATTTGTATAGCACAATTCAGTACAAAGACAATGCAAAGTGCTTTACATGATTAAAATATAGGAAAATAAAAGAGAATCAAAACAAGTAGGAAAAAATACATAAGAAATGCTGAAATAAAAAAGAACATTAAAAACGGCTGGACTAAAGAAAATAAAAAAAGTTGAACTAATGATGTTTCAGTTGAACTGTTTAACTAGAACAGTCGAAGGCAATCCTAAACAAATGTGTTTTTAGTCTTGATTTAAAGGAACTCAGGCTTTCTGCACTTTTACAGTTTTCTGGAAGTTTGTTCCAGATAAGTGGAGCATAGGAACTAAATGCTGCTTCTCCACGTTTAGTTCTGGTTCTAGGTATGCAGAGCAGGCTGGAGCCAGAAGACCTGAGTGGTCTGGAGCAAGAATGTGGACTGATAGCAAGAATGTGTCACTATTTTAAAAATCGTATATATCTCTTAAGAATTAATTAATAGCATAACTTTGAAATCCAATATACGGAAGAGGATAAGGGCCACTGGAAAAAAAAAAAAAGTTAACTGATTTTTTTTAATTTTATTTCAGTATAGTATGGGAAAAAAGTCAGAATTCTGACTTTTTCCTCAGAATTCTGACTTTAATCTCAGAATTCTGACTTTTTTATTAGAATTCTGACTTTTTTTTATTGTCAGAATTCAGTCAGAATTCATGGATTAAAGTCAGAATTCTGAGAAAAAAGACTGACTTTTTTCCCATGTTAAATTGAAATAAGATTTAAAAAGTTAACTTTTTTTTCAGTGGCCCTAATCCTCTTCCGTACGAATATAACCTTCTCTGCAAAAAAAAAAAAGATGCTTCTATATATATATATATATATATTATTAAATATGGAAAAGTTTTATTTTTTAAGCCCCAGTCGGAAACAGTGCAGGTGAGCACGGACAGCTTGCCAGAGGATCTGGAGACGCCCATCTCCAGTGCGCTCCCGCCCCAGCAGCTGGAGCGGTTCCTCCCTCTCAGCAGCTCCGGTTGTCCTCCTGGATGTCGATCCTCACCGCTGCTCCACCGCAACAGGTAAATTATTAAACATCATTTTGTCGCTTAGAAAAAAATAACATAGAAAATAGAGATAAAACACCGGCTCATGTAGCACCAGTTTCCGTAAATAAGATATTGATTTATTTATTTATATATCAAACCTGCTCTGTCAAGGTAAGTGGGACGTCCTGCTTTATTAAATGAAATAAGGAGCCTGATCACAGGCAATGCGGTGCTTCCTATTCTCACACTGATTTGCTGCAGTGGACCCTCCGTCCTGACAAGATGTGGGTTTATTTATTTATTTTAGAAACATGTCCTGAAAAATCAGCCTATTGTCTGCATTTGAGATGGGGAACACACCACATGGCTGGAAAAAATGCCTCCAAAAGGATGTTTTCTACAAATAACACATCAACTTCAACTGAAGCTCACAGATTAACACACTTTTTGGAGACAAAAAGGCAATTATGCTTCATGTTGGATAAATCATTTAGGATAAATTATGTGGTACTGATACCACACTGGAGGTTAATCATCATGTCTTCAGAAAAAAAAAAAAAAGGAGGCAAAGTGTGGTTATTTCATTGTAAATCAGATTTATAAAGAAGAGAGCTGAAGCTCAGGTTACTACTGTTTGTTTTCAGCTCATGACAGCTAAGCTTGTCATCAAGCTTTGAGGTAAAAGCCTGTTTTTATTACTGATTGTGAGAATTGGAGCAAGAGGAGTAAAGCTGTTTAGGCATGAGGCATATATCTGCTAATTCGCTGCAGCGAAGAAGACACATTATAGAGATTGCCTAGAGTGTGTCTGAGCACTGTTCTTCTGCTGCTTAGAGGCATTCTTTGCTGAAGTGGCAAAGTCCATTTAAACCCCAGTAGCTGTGACATCTGGCTGCATCCCAGCAGAGGCTGTTGCATATCCACCTGCCAAGGCAATGCATGACATAACCACGCTCCCTTGCACAAAGATTTGACCCCATCTACCCGTGACAGACCAACAGAAGAGAATTACTCTGAAGCTTTTTCTTTTACAACTTTTTTATTATCAATTTATATTTAGTCCATCTGAGTCAAAACTTCAGAAGCCTTCCCCTTCTTTGCTTTATTTATAGTTGCAAATCCTTTCAGGTATGTCTGTGACGACTTTACACATCTACAGCCTTAAACCTCGGCCCTTTCTTTGTAAAATCTCAATTTTAGGGAAATTATGTCTCTGCAAATCACCTTGTAACGTCTGGTTTAGAGATTTTCAATTGAATTTAATGCTTTGACTTTAACTAAGACATTCTGAAACAGACAATAATCACAACCATTTCATTTTGACTCTTGCTGTATGTTTGGGATTGTTCTTTGCCGTCTGAACTAACATTCTTCCAAGATTGCCTGAAATGATCTCAAACCATCTAATAATCAACTCTGAACAGATCCCCCCGCTGAAGAAAAGCAAAGCAGCACAGTGCTACTACTTCTGTGTTTAATTAAGAGTTCAATATATATTAATGGTAAATGGTTGAAGTAGTTTTCCATCGAACTTTGCAAATTCCCTTTGGGATTAAAGTAGAAGGTTTTTTCTATTTTCTGTGGACATTGATCTCGATGTTTTGTATTATTAATACAAAACATTAATACAAAAAATAATAATAATAATAATAATACATACTGTATATTATATTCGATTTACTGATATGAAGTTACAAGTTTACTTCTGAAGTTACACTGGATGTTATTTATCATTATCGTACTATGAAGGACTGGACGCAGATGTTCTTAACACTTTCCATATATTCATTTGTTTGGAAAACAAACTTTGAAACTCAGCTTTAATTTTTTTTACCCTTATCAAAATGATGCCCTTCTTTCTGTTGTTGTACCACATAAAATCACAATCAGATTTATTTCCAAGTAGGTTTGCTCTTACAAGGAATTCGACTTGGTGTTGATGGTGCAGACAAAATAGATATATATAGAATACAGAATCTATAGTTATATACAATATAAAACATACAATATATAGTATATAGACATATGTATGTGTTAATGTAACGCAGGAGGTCTGGAGATGCTACGTTGGTGTAGCTTCTAGGTCCTGAACGGGGGAGGGAGAGTGTCAGTGTCATTGGAGGTCTCTGGGCCTTGTTGGTAAGGCTTGTTGGGAGACATACCAACAAAATTTAATTTTGGTTTGTGATTATAACTTGACAAAATGTGGAAAAGGCTAAACTGATTATTTACCAGCAATGCCATTTTAGAGCTTCAGAAATTGCAGTCATGATTTGCAAAGCGTCAATATGTCACAGTGAGGGAGGAGGTTTGACAGGACCCAAATGCAGACAAAAAAGCTTAAGGTGGTTACTTGAAGGTTTAATAACAAAAGTTCAACAGAAGCAAAAATCCAAAACATAAATCCACAAAATCCACAAAAACTGAGAACCAGGAATACTTACAAACATGGGCGTAGGTTTGCATAGGGACCATAGGGACATGTCCCTACCAAAGTTTTGAACCGTCCTAATTGTCCCGACCAATAATTGGATGTGAGCAACATGTTTATAATTTACAGCAGTGGCTCTTTTCCTCTCGCAGCTCCTCTGCCTGGTCTCTCCTGTCCCTTTCACCTAGCAGCGCATTGAACTGTGCTGCGCTGTTTAACTCCACTCTCATTGGCTGTTCTGCCTTAGGTCCCGCCTTCTCTCTTTCTGATTGGCTGTTTTCTAGTCCGCTGTGCTTGGAGCACAACATTGAAAATTTATTCACACTAGAATGCAGCGGTTACTACAATTAATATTAGACTATGAAACTAGTCCCAATAAAAAAAATGAATATCATGTACACTAAAAAACAAAAACCTTTTTTTTTCTTTTATAAAACGAAATATTCTGAGTCAGCCAGGAGTTCTGAAGACACAAAATGGGCAAATAAAGGCTGTAAGCCATCAACATTTCTGATTCTTAGCCACAGCCACCTAAAAAAGAAAATGTGACGGTTTCCTTTTTACCAATATTTAGTTGCTGTTACTGGTTTCATTTTTTGATGACTCTGAGGAAGTTCAGGTATAATTATTAGCAGGTGTTATTTCTCTTATAGAGGAAAACAACAAGAAATGGCGGCTAAACATCTGCTGTATATCGTTTAAAAAGCATAATTAGGGTTCCAAATAATAATAATAATTTAATTGACTATTTATACTTCTAGAAATAGGATAAAGAGAAGAACAAACAGATGAAGAATATTAACATTGATTTTATCTTAGATTTCCACACAGTCTATAAGTAAATTAGTACAAACATTAATGTCTGGTAAAAATGCTGGAATCTGACTGTTTATTTTGGATATTATTAAATTACAGATAAGATAGTGTTATATTGTCTTTTATAATTGTTAAAAGTGATTTTATATTTTAATAAACTTAGGCTCATTCTCAGTGTTGTGTTTGTAGATGATGCCACTAAAAAGAAAATATACATAAGGAGCTATTTATACAGTCAGACAGTAGCAATATAGGACAATGATAAAAGGTTGTGTTACATTTAATCCTTTACTATTAAAAATGCACTTATACATTATATGATTATAGGAAACACAGATATCCAGTAATAATGATGCAGGGCAGCTTGTAGGTGAAGCAGCTGCCATTCAGTGCTTCAGGTGATGTCTAAATAAACCAGGTGAAACTAAAATATTTCCACATGAGGAGTTCTGGATGGAGAATTTTGATTATATATATGTATTGTAGTTTTACAATTTTGGTATAATTACTGATCTAAGTGGGTTGCTCTGTTGGAAAAAGACACATTTTACATTTATATTATGTTTTAGAGTCTTTATACTCCAGTTAATGATGAATCAATTATTAAATTAGTTGACGATTATTGAAATAATCAATTAATGCTTCAAACATTGATAAACAGCATCTAATGAGTGTAGTGTTTCTTTTATTTAATTTTTATTAATGTAGCAAAATTATGCTTTTCTCTTTTAACATTGAATTCCTCTTATCAGTACGGATGCTCACATCGAGCATAAAAAAGGGCGTGCATATTGCATAGCACCAATGACACCCGACCAATCGTGTCCCTACCAAAGTTAAAATCAAACCTACGCCCTTGCTTACAAAAAGGGGGCAAAGAAATGATGACAAACCAGCAAAGAGTGACTAAACAGGAAGAGAATAAATTGGAGAGAGAAACAAAGACCAGGCTAATTAGCAGATTGGGAGCAGGTGTGAACAGAGGGGGCCAGAAGGGAGCTGAGGAAAAGGAGAATGACAGAATGGGACAAACAATATGAACTTGCGTTGCCGTTCATATTTCCAAAAATATGTGACTTGTATGTGATCTCCTGCATGAACTGCAGTCATACAACGCAAGTGTCCCGCACGTGCAGTAGAGGACACGATGATGTTGCAGGCCAGCATGCTCCATGTTTATGGAATGGTAGTGCCGGCACACATCTAGCGGTCTTTTCCAGACATAAAACTTTTTTTTTTCAATATGTTTAAACATAAATACTGCTCTCCGCATCATCATCTGCCATGGTTGTTGTTTTTCTTGCCACTTCTGCCTAGCAAGACGCAGAATAGTGACCTATGTCGGGTATTAATAATGTTCAGACACAGGTCGCATTTGAAAATATCCAATTTGTATCGGATTCAGGACCACATAGCCTAGTGGCCTGGGTCGCATTGGAAAAATTGGATCTGTGTTGTTCAGACTGCCATGAAAAGATCAGATCCAGGTCGCATATGGGCAAAAAAAATCAGATTTAGATCAATTCAGGCTGCAGTGTGAACGTAGGCTAAGATACAGTCAAAAATAACTAGAGCACAAAAATGGAAATAAAACAAATGAAAACTCAGAGATAAAACTTGAAAGGAACCAAAACCATGACAGTACACATGTGCACTCCTTGTGGTGATGTTAGAGACCAGGGATGGACTTTGAGTGTTCATTATTCATTAACGGTTGGAGATGCATAGAAATAAATACATAATAGTGGCCAGTTTGGCTTTATAATAAAAAAAAGATAAGCAAAAA